TTACTCACCTTCAACACAAAAATATGTGTTTAGCAGAGGTTTTTTTTTTTTTTTGCACTGTTCTCTTCTATATAAAGAAGGTGAATGAGGACAGGGAATGTTCAGCTCCAAAAAATTGAAAAGGTACCATAAAAGCGGTCCATATGACTTGCGCACTATATTCCAAGTTTTATAAAACCACATGACACCACTTTAAAGGAAAACATTTTTTTCACATCCGATCCGATACCAAACATTCTGCGTATCAGCCGATACCGATACCAGCACTGTTTTTTTTTTCAATCAATGTAGAATTTCTATACCTCAGTGTGGTGACCTGATCATCACTGTTTTGTGATCTACTAAATATAGACAACTTCATTTTAAAGGGGTCCTATTATGCTTTTTCACTTTTTCAACTTTAGTTATCAATATTTACACTGAAGATCGCAGGCAGTTATGGTAAGGGCCTTGACATTTCCCGACCAGGAGCCGAGTGCTGCCAATCACAACACACACTGGCCCAGCTAACCAATCACAGCACATTTCGTATTTCAAAAGGCATGCCTTCATTTGATACAGGAACTATTTGAGCCGTTTGTGCCAGACTGGGGAGAGAGGTGTTGTAATAATGTAAAATATGTGAAAAATAATGTTGATACAGAGCGGCACAAAGCGTTTATGTGCATCCCGTGCGCAGAATAATGCGCTTGAAGCAACACGGAGTCACAGCGAGCAGCGCTCCGCATTGAAAGCACAAAGAGAAGACATATTGATGCGTAGTATATTATATCTGTGCGATAGTTTATAGAGCCTTTTCTTTTAACAGTTTTAAATTTCAGTTACTGTGCTCTTGGAGAGAGTTTCATCGTCTTGACTGTCGTAACCGAACGCGTCGCGCAGTTTGAATGCTGAATGGAGGATGACAGACAGCCGCAGCGGAGAGAAGAGTTATGTCAACTTGAATTTAACGACTTAAATACTCATCTGTACCTCACATTAAAATATGGAACGGCTTCAGAACACTTGGAATAGAGTGCCGAAAACTTTATGGTGCTTTATAATGTTTTTGTGCCTTTTGTGGGGCACATATCGTAACAATAACACAGAATAGTATACGCACAATATCGGATTTGGATCGATCTCGTCTGACCGATACCCGATCCTACAGAAAATGTCAGTATCGGAGCCGATACCGATACTGAATATCGGATCGGTGCATCCCTAATTTGAATGACCTATTCCTTTAGGAATAAGTAAACGTATTTACTTATAAAAATTACTACAATTCTCCTTTTGCAAAAATTCCTCTATTGAAAATTTTGGCGAAAAAAAATCACATCTCAATCAATTTCCATTACATCCTCATTTATCTTCCTTTCACCTTTCTTAGGCAAAAACCCTCTCATGTCTAAGTAATGCCATCCAAGACCATAAGCTCTTGTGTAAAGTCATAAAGCAGGGTTTCCTGGCCACCAGTGCTTTTCCTCACAGATGCACTGGCCCCTGCCTGTGGGAAACGGGAAACCATGACTTATCTGAACATATGGTTTCCCAATTCAAGTCAAAATGTCTGAGCCCTGCTGCATCTGGTGCCATTTTAGTTGGTTAAAAATGCCACACAGGACTGTGACGAAAGGAGAAGAAATGGAGGAAAATACAGTTATTACACACCCATGGGCTCATTTTTTCAGCTCATTAGCCACTGGCCTCCATGACCAATTAGGCTTTGTCACCATTGCTGGGGTCATTATGCTCACATCTTCTTGCATGCTCATTCAGCTGTCTTTAGGGAGAAAATAAAAGACGGAGAAAGAGAGCTCATTGATAGAGGCAGGAAAAGGCAAACCCTTATAAATTGATTGAAAATTAAAGAGAAAGTCACAATGAGATCATTTCGCTGCTGACGCTTGTGTCTTCATGAGCAGGAATGTGTGGGATTTACAGATGATGCCTTAATGGCCCCTAACTGATGCCTGCCACCGTTGTTTTAGACATTTAAAGTAACGGAAAATTTTACACAACGCACTCGATCCTAAATCTCAAATGCTTCATTTTTTTACTCATTTTGCTAATCCCACAAAGTGGCTGTGTAATTATGAGAAAATAATAAACGTCTCACCTGAAGTCATAAATTAATCTCTGCTTAAAAACTCATCAAGTGACGTAAGGCAAAAGTCAGTTTAGAGTTTGATAAATGCGTTACCTCCCCTGTGCAGGTCAGTTACTGGCCAGTATGTATAAATGGGGTCCATGGGGAGAGGGTAGAGCCGATGTCAATCACAAAGTTAACCCATACAAAAGACCATAATTGACGTGGGTCCACCTCATCCCTGCATCCGAGAGCACTGTTGGCCCCGTGGGGCCTCGTGAACCCCCCACTACCCCCAGACTGACCACAGTCCATTTATCAGAGATGGGGGGCAGCTTGGCAGGCCTTACATACACTCCCCTGCATAAGCATTGCACACACACACACACACACACACATACACAACCCAAACAAATATGCTGCAGGGACCGTGGCAGACACACCATGTAACAACAAATTTACAACAGGTGCACCATGGAAATGGCTGGGTCAATATGATGACTAATGGTGTATCACTGTGTGTATAACGGACGAGTGTGAATGAACCAGATTTCATGTTTATCTTTAGTGATCAGAGAATCATCGAAAGATTAAAGATCATTTCCTGAGCAAAGAAAATAAAGGAAACATCAGGAAAATTAATATGATAAATTATAAAAGTGCAATGATAGATAGATAGATAGATAGATAGATAGATAGATGGACAGATGGAAGAACTTTTTTTTTTACTAAATTAATACAATGAAAACATGCTTTTTTAAAAGCTAAAAATGTAAAAAAACAAGAATACATTTTTTTAGTGATTTTCCATTTTTGTCAGATGCCAGCACTTCCCAGCAGGCCATGTGTTCACTCTCTTTAAAAGAATAGGAAACCAGGCTGCTAACAGCAGACTGAACAGTAGGCTAATTCCCTGTGTTTAATACAAAAGAACCAATTATATGCTAATCAGCACATCTCAGCACTGCTTCAGCTCCCCATCCTTCACCGGCAGCACAAGATAACAGTTAGTCATGCTTCCTTTTAGAGCCGCTGACTTCTCCTCCAACTAGGCTCACTATAGGCTAATCTGTCAGTTAAAGTCTGCTATAGGTGTCAAATTAATTCATTGAGCAAATTAGCAAAAATATTAATTGATATACTTAATATTACATCTAGTATAAAGTGGCCTTGAAAGTATTTGTACATGTAAGTCACACCTAAAAATGTAGGTATGTCATTGGATTAAATTTATTTTTAAGACAAAAAGCATGTATTTTAAGCAATACACTTCACAAAAAAAAAGCTATTTTTCAATGATAAAACAATAGATTTACTGTTCAAATATAAGATCATAAGTATTTGGACATTTTTGGTTGCCAAATATTAGTGTAACGTCCAAAGTTGTGATGAAGTACACCTGTGGTTATAGGACACCTGTGTGAACTTGATAGGAAATGATTCATACATCCACAAACAAAATATCACCTTGAGACCAGTTGGTTAAGACTGATAAAAAAAAATTAAAAAAAATTTCAACCTCATCTTTAAACCCCAAATTCTTTCACTTTTCACAAATGTCAATCAAAACCAGCATCAGCACCAGAAGAGCTGAGAGGAAGCGAGTTGACCACGTCTTGGTTAATTATTAGCAGCCTTTTGTCTTTTCGTAAAATCAAACAGCATGCCTTACACTCTTTCATCAGCCCGATTCAGTCAGCCCAATTGTTTTAATATGAACTTCCTCAAGAGTTTTCATTAAGTGTAGACTAGCCCCCTGCTATCCAAGCAGCCTCACCCCCTCACAATATCTCCACCCCCAAAGACCTGAAGAGTCTTTCTTAATCAAATGTACATTTACTAGTCGCTTGACTTGAGACATCTGCCCCAAGCAACCAGTCAATATTGTGGCCCCAGTTCAAAGCAGTCAGTTCATTAGCTGTGTCAGCTTTACAACCAGAAGGTAATGGGTTTGAAAGTGAGCAACGACAATGCACGGCAATGCAGGCCTCATTTAATAGTGATTTATCACCATCCAAAAGCCCTGTTTAACCTTTGGCCAGTGCAGACCTCCCTTCCTCTCTCAAAGGATCTATTGTCAGCTCCCCAGGGTATCTTACTGTGTGAATAAGGAAAAGATGATCTAGTTAAAGTCACATTATATGACTAGTCATATCATTTGAAGTGCAGCAGAACACTTGGTTGGCGAACGGAGTGCGCAGATAGTGTTTCAAATGGCTCATTTTCTGTTATGTAATGGATAATATTTCAGCATAAGCGAAAGGATACATGTCTGCTTTTGATTCATTAATTCATCATTTTGCTTGCTGTTACAGTATTGATACAATATTACTGTGCTTACTGTGACTCTCTTCTGTATGTTCATTTATTTCACTTTAATGGCACAGAAAAGGACCTATACATTGCAATTAAAGTAAAATTACTGAATTTACTGGAATTACTACTAGGAGCCTGATAAAAATGCTAATTTTAGATGAAAAATTCAGATGGCACGTAGAGGCTTTTGCATCTGAACTCTTCATATATATATAAATACATTTTTACATTTTATTTAAATACTTAATAAAATACTTAAAAAAACACACCTGTTTATCAAAAACCAAACTTTTTTTTGTTTTTATTTATTTATTAATTTTCTGTACAATGAAAGTCAATGGGGTCCAATGTTGTTTGGATTTTACTGTTCATTAATAATGACAGAATCTTCATTGTTTCATCTCTTTAAGAGATCATGACATTATTTTCAGTCATTTTGACACTCAACAAATGGGCAAATCTTAGCTAAGATGAAGTTCGAAATATAGACACTCGTGGTGCCCAAAAATGCTTAAAAGATGCCTTAAGAATGTAAAGTAAAAAAAAAAAAAAAGTCTAATATCTAAGTAAAACGACTTAGTAAATACAATTTTGGCTTTTGTGGGGTGTTATGCCTAAAAAGATGCCAACAGTTTTCATTGTTAGGTCAACTAAACCTTTAACAGATCACAACCTCATGTTTAGCCATTTTGACACTCAACAAATGAGCAAATATAGACGCTCGTGATGTCCAAAAATGCCTGAAAAGAATGCCTTTGGTTGCTATTCTGGCATCTTAGTGACAGAAGCATCAGGTTCAGCATGTGCTGTTATTTTCTAGTGATCTAATGCTGATAGGGCCTGTTAAGTAGCGTAATGACAGAAGGACAATACGGATGCTTGGTGTGGTCCATATGGACCGCATTGGTCTTTGACGGCACTCTCTGCACGTTATTAACCACATGTCTTACCAGTGCTTAGTAAACCGTTTTGTTAACAAAGCTCTGGCAGGAAGAAGAAAAAAAGGGGGTTGGCGTTGAAAATGTGAACAGTTGGTACGATGTAAAGACACTGTTTTCTGTGGAGAGCCTGATGGTATCCCCCCCCGCCCATCCGCCTCACCTACCTCAATGCCTTCACAGTCTACGCCACTCCGCCCCATCCTTACAAGGCATGGCTTAGTCACACCAGCTGCCTGGACCATTCTTCACTGGTTGAGCTGCCCCCTGTCAGGACCAGAAGCCCCAGTCTTCCATCCCTATGGCTAAAGAGAAAGAACCAGACGGGTTACGTGGGCCAGAATCCAGGGCTCTTGAGATGAAGTGATCAAAACAATGCAGATATTGGGAGCAAAAAACACAAGAGAGCAGTGACTAGTCAGGAAGACTAGTTAATCACTGCTTTGGTTTGTGGGAACTATTTCACCTGGTATCATTTGGAGAAATGTTATAGAAAAAGCTAATTTAGACAATACTACGGTTTAGAAATAAGCATTTGTTTTTTTACTTAGTGCAGTTTTTATGTATAAAACATTTTCACATTAGAACATTTAATATATAAATATGTGTTATATCTATATATTTTGTATTTAAATATTTTGTTATAATATTACATTTGTATATAAATATTATATTCAGTATATTAAACATAATATAAAATAAATATTAAATATTATTTCAGTACATAAATATTTAAATATGAAGAAATAAAAATAAATTTAAATACATATTTCATGTTTTAGATTTTTATATAAATATATATGTTAGTACAATACAAATTTTATATTTTATATTACATTTTTGTCATATTTTGCTATATTTTTTTCCTCATTCCTTTGCTTCTGGAGTAAACATTATATATAATATATTGACCTTATATGAAATATAATTAAACTAATTAAGACATTTAAATTGTTATTATATTATATTATTTTATAGTAATCAGATTGTATTATTAGATTTCATGTGTGCTGATGCTGATCTATGTTGATCGGAATTCCAGTAGATGTTCAGTCAGCTGTTTAAGAAAACCAACCAACCAAAGCAAAAAGAAAGAAAGAAAATACACAATGCAGGCAAAATGAACTCCATTTGAGCTTTACAATAATCCTTTTCTACTCTGACAGAATTGGTTACATTTCAATTTTCTTTGAAGTAGTTTTCGGCACATTTGATGGTGAGCTTCGAAAGCACAGCATTATCGGCGCAAGAATGGGGCTTTTCGAGGTGTTTACAGGTTTCAAAGGTCTCTCTCTTGTAGAGCACAGATTGTGAGGTCTGATTGGGTCAGTCTCTCAAGAGTCACTTGAAAAATCCACAGTATTTGGTCTAACTCCCGGTACTATGTGTGAACCATGCTAAGACTTCAAGGCATTTGCTTTGTAGCGGAATCTGCTTAGGTTTAGTAAGCATAAAGAAGTCCTTGCACACACGTACACACCCTTTCCACAAAAATGTTCCCGAGTGGTAAAACAGGAATGGAGCGACCCATCCACTAAGCAAACAGAATGAACTAATGAATCAGCCATCTTCTCCTCCCATTCCAATTATCCAGAGCCATGTTAAGAATACGGCTACGTCAGAAAACGCTGATGCTAATACAGATAATCCCTTACATAGATATACATCTCACATTCAGTCTTAGCCACCGAACCACCCAAGCAGTCAGAGTGCAGGAGCTGAGACCGCCAACAGAGAGAAAGTGCATCCTTCAGGTTTGAACAAGCTAATGAGGAATATGTAAATGATGTGGGGGCTTATGAGATTACCACTTGTTTGATAGTTATTACAGGTGTTAGTAAACCAGAATTAGGAGCCCAGTTAATGCTGGTCCATTCAGACCCTGATTGATCCTTTAATACAGGCATTTGTGGTTATGTTTGCTTCCCTGAATTGTGCTGTGGTGGGTCCACACTGTGTACTCAGTACTCAAAAGTTGCTCTTATTTTCCTACTTTTCTTTCCATTTCTCTGGCCTCTGAACACAGTGACACAACTTACCTGGAAACCTTCATTAAGATAAATTCAATTGCATAGATGTCATGTTTTCACATCCAGATGCAAAGAAGTCTCAATTCTACCTTAGTACTGATAAGAACAGTTGCTCTGTGAAAGTATCCATCTTATACTTCCCTGCTTTCTCTCACTTTGGCAGCTGGACTCGCAAGTTAAAGAAGTCATTAAGCTTATCCAGACGCAACAAAAGAAAGATTTTGCAACGGCAAACAGGAGTGTCAAATCAAACAGAGATTTGCCAAAGAGGCTTTGGCGAGTTGGTGAGATCCATACCAATTTGGAGATTTCAATGCTCTCTTTCTTACTCCTGGGAAAATCACTGGACATGTTTGAAGAGGACAAAAGCACTAAATATGAAGAGAACAACTCAAGAACATTATGTAAGATTCAGCAAAACATTCCTTAAAGTGAAACAAAGTGGAATGTTGAAACTTAGTTCTATGTGTAACAAAGTGAAACTCAATACAGTTTTATGAGCAATTGTGAAGGCAGCTGGGTTTGCAAACAGAATCTTAACTAAACAAGTCTATCTAGAACTATTTGACGAGAAAAAAAAGGAAACTAAACTGATTCACACTGATAAAACACCATTTTTTCCATGTCTGGATCAACAATTGTCAGGACCAGCTGACCGTGAATATCCTGTGAGCCAATCAACTTTAAGACAACAAAACAGCATGAACTGGTACTTTGCTTGAAAAGTTCAGGCAAATTACTGAGCAGCTCACCAATCAGACCACATCGTTCTTGAAGGGTATCTAAAAACACACTTTTAATTTTAAAAGTACATTTAAAAGTATTTGGTGAAAGAAAAAAAAGACTTTTTTTTTTTTATAGAAAACAGTTTTCACCAAAGGGTTAAACAAAGTACAATCTTGAATGTTTTAATTGTACACCATTGAAAAACACTGTACAAATCAATAACATTTCAAAGAAATTAAGTATTGTAACAAGACCATACACTAAAACCAAAACTGTAATAAGCCTCTTTTTTTAGGGAAGTCATGGCCTAATGGTTAGAGAGTCGGACTCGTAACCCAAAGGTTGCGGGTTCGAGTCTCGTACCGGCAGGGATTGTAGGTGGGGGGAGTGAATGTACAGCACTCTCTCCACCTTCAATACCACGACTGAGGTGCCCTTGAGCAAAGCACCGAGCCCCCAACTGCTCCCCGGGCGCTGCAGCATAAATGGCTGCCCACTGCTCCGGGTGTGTGTTCACGGTGTGTGTGTGTTCACTGCTGTGTGTGTGCACTTAGGATGGGTTAAATGCAGAGCACTAATTCCTAGTATGGGTAACCATACTTGGCCACATGTCAAGTCACTCACGTTTTCAGAGAATGAAAACATTCCATTATGACAGGGGTGCCCAAACTCGGTCCTGGAGGGCCGGTGTCCTGCAGAGTTTAGCTCCAACCCTAATCAGCTAAGCAGCTAATCAAGGTCTTACTAGGCATACTAGAAACTTTCCGGCAGGTGTGTTGAGGCAAGCTGGAGCTGGAAATCCCAGTTCAGTTTATGACTGTTAAATGAACTAGCCCATGTTTGATAAAATATACAGGACCTTTTAGCCATATTTAAAGTAGCCTGTAAAAAAGTCAGTCAATAAAAGCTGTATTCTGTTGCAGAAAATAAAATGTACAATACAATCATGAATAAATCATTTACATTTAATGTCAACATAAAGGCAGCCTTTTTACTTTATGAAGCAAGTAGCTATCTGTGTGAGAAAAAGTATTTATTATTCACATCCGTGTGATCGTAATTACGGTGAAAATGCATTGCAAATTCATGGGAAAACCAAACTTAAATAGTCTTAGAACAGATGGCTTAAAATGATTAAATTCAAAAGACTTTCTCTGCAGGATCCGCGCTGACATTGCCCTCTGCTGGAGGCCAAACGAAATACAATTCTGAACGTACCGTGCGTAAGGTTTCAGAACAGCACTAAACAAGTACAAAAAGTTTATTATTGTTTTAAGAGTTGATGGGGATGGGAATTTTACATTTCTTTCAGGCTTATTTGGGGGAAAAAACACTTTCGGTGGGATAACAATAATTTATAATTTATAATTTTTAATTGTTATTTGTAATGTTCAGATAGGCCTAAATTCAAAGAGTTGAATAACGTGCAATAAATAAATAAATATACAAACAAACGTCAGGGAAAACGAACGGGTCACTGTAGATATAGGCTATAACTAAAAGAAATATAGGCTAAATATTTTGTTTAGGTTAGATGTCGTTCTTCATGTTCATATTCATGATAAAATGTTGTTTTGTTGTTGAAAGTACAGTAAAACAAGCATGGATATAAAGCTAACATTAGTACAAAGTTGGCAGATATGCTTTAAATTAGATTTTAAAACACTTCGGGGTTCGGACATTCTCATTAAGCTAAATAAATATTAAGATTTAAATGAGGTAAACGCGCAAAATGATCTCTCTCGCGGTCAAAACAAAGCTGTCCCCTTGAGAAAAAAAGCTGAACACCATGTCATTTCAACTCCTATTGCACAGTTCCGCAACCTGAGGCGAATTAACGCTATGCATTTAAACCTTTTCAATGGTATGCCGATTTCTTGTGTTCGTCTTGTTCCAAATGTGGCCAACAACACAAGCCCGGTCATTGTAACAAGGCGCTATTCCTCCCTCAAAAAGGCCAAGAACGATGGGAATTCAAGAAACGAGTATTATTTTGGAGGTGCCACCTATTTGCTGCTCATAAAAACAATATTTAGGTTGTGCTTGAGCGTTACCTCGCTGAATAGGCCCTATTCATGTGGGGTTAAGAGTGTAGCGTGGGTCCTGTGAGGAGGTAGCGTGGGTCCCTGTGTTTCGAGGAGGAGCTGTCAGGGCTTCGGAGGAGCGGGAGAATAGGGACCCGCCAGAGTCTCTTGCTTGGGTTCGAACTGCGGTGATTTAACTGCATAATCGGATTGAAAGTGAGCCGCGGAATTTATGTCAGTTCACATTTCATCAAACGGCCAGTGTGAATTGAAGTCGACAGAACAGAGAGTTAATCCAGAACTAAAGCCAAAATAATTAGGGGCCCCCATCTAATCTGCTCATTCTAACACCCTTCAATGACATTAAAATATGGCAACTCTTGCTGTTGGCAGTCAAAAGTGTTCCCCAACTTTAAATGGGCCAATAAAAGCCCAGGCTTTACTGCAGGGGAAAGCAGAGGTTTGTTCATAGGAACCAACATAGTTTTGGGTGTCAACCACAGCAGTGAATAATTCAAACAAGCT